ATTCCTGACAAACACTAAATCCCCATGAATCTCCCCAAAACAAGTGCCCCCTTTCAGTCTCCTCAAAACTGCGGGTGTTCCATTTTTTTTTAAGGGTGCGGCAGATTACGGGCCCCCCATAGCTCTCCAGGCCCCTAATTGCAGGGCCCCTGTACCGCCTCCTCATGCCCCCAGGTCCAAGTGTTCAGGGGTCCCTTACGGCCCCCCTTTGCGCTGTCTCCATCGCCACACTCTGCCATTGCCACTTTCGGGTCCCTCACACACTGCTGCTGGTTCCATTTTTTTCATAGGGTGCGGGCAGTTTAGGGGCCTGCCAAAGCTGGCTTCAAGCCCCTAATCTGCCATGGGCCCAGTAAACCCGCCTCCTCATTGCTGCTTGCCAGGTCCCACAGTTGTCTCATGCCCATGTGCCACTATTACAGGTCTCCTCACACTGCTGTTGTGTTCCATTTTTTGTCATAGGGTCTGGCAGATTACGGCCTCCCATTGCTGCTGCCCAGGCCCATAACTTGCCATGGGCCCCTGTACCTGCCATCCTCATGCTGCTGCCAGGACCAGAGTATCTCATGGGGTTCCCTGTATAAACGGCCTCCCCATTGCTGCTGTCTCCATCACCACACTACTTGCCATGTGCCACTTTCAGTCTCCTCTCACACACTGCTGTCTGTGTTTCATTTGTTTGTCATAGGGTGCTGGCAGATTACGGACCTCCCATACGCTGCTGCCAGGCCCCTAATCTGCCATGGGCCCCCTGTACCAGCCTCCTCATGCTGCTGCCAGGTCCACAGTGTCTCATGCCATGTCCACTTTCAGGTCTCCTCACACTGCTGGTGTTCCATTTTTTGTCATAGGGTGCTGGCAGATTACGGGCCTCCCCATTGCGGCTGCCAGGCCCGTAATCTGCCATGGGCCCCTTACCCATACCGCCTCTTCATGCTGCTGCCAGGTCCAGAGTGTGTCAATGGGTCCCCTGTACAGCCTCCCATTGCTGCTGCCAGGAGGCAGCAGGGGGTAATCCCCAGCATGTCAGTGAGGCAAACGGCCACGGAGTAGAGCACCAGCTCCACTGCATCCTACCACCACGGCCAGTATGGTGCCGGTGTGCACGAGGAAGTAGCAGTCAGCCAGTGAGGAGTAGCGGGGGAAAAGTTTCCTACTCACACGGTGTGGCAATTTTTCGTCAAGCCGCCCGAGGAAGTAAACGTAGCCGTAAGTCGACTATTGGGCCAGAAAAGTCAAGCGTGGCCAGGGGGCCCATGTTGGGACTAACAGCGTTGCGTCAGCATTATGCAGCGTCGCCATTCGGTGGCCTGGAAAACCGTGATAAAGATACGGCGGTTCTGCCTGCCCCAGCCCAGGGGTTCCATTTGTCATAGGGTGCTGGCAGATTACGGGCCTCCCATTGCTGCTGCCAGGCCTTAATCTGCCATTGGCCCCTGTACCGCCTCCTCATGCCTGCTGCCAGGTCCACAGTGTCTCATGGGGTCCCTGAACCGCCTCCCATTGCTGCTGTCTCCATCGCCACACTCTGCCATGTGCCACTTTCAGGTCTCCTCACACTGCTGGTGTGTTACATTTTTGTCATGGGTGCTGGCAGATTACGGGCCTCCCATTGCTGCAGCTGCCAGGCCCGTAATCTGCCATGGGCCCAGTACCGCCCGCCCCCCGCCCTCCTCATGCTGCTGCCAGGTCCACAGTCTCTCATGGGTCCCTGTACGGCCTCCCATTGCTGCTGTCTCTATCGCCACACTCTGCCATGGCCACTTTCAGGTCTCCTCACACTGCTGGTGTGTTACATTTTTTTGTCATAGGTGCTGGCAATTACGGGCCTCCCATTGCTGCTGACAGGCCCTAATCTGCCATGGGCCCCAGTACCGCCTCCTCATGCTGCTGCCAGGTCCAAGTCTCTCATGGGTCCCTGTACGCCTCCCATTGCTGCTGTCTCCATCGCCACACTCTGCCATGTGCCACTTCAGGTCTCCCTCACACTGCTGGTGTGTTTCCATTTTTTGGCCATAGGGTGCTGGCAGATTACGGGCCTCCCATAGCTGCTGCCAGGCCCCTAATCTGCCATGGGCCCCTATACCGCCTCCTCATGCTGCTGCCAGGTCCAGAGTCTCTCATGGGTCCCTGTACGGCCTCTCCCATTGCGCTGTCTCCATCGCCACACTCTGCCATGGGCCACTTTCAGGTCTCCTCACACACTGCTGGTGTGGTTCCATTTTTTTGTCATAGGGTGCTGGCAGATTACGGGCCTCCCATTGCTGCTGACAGGCCCGTAATCTGCCATGGGCCCCCGTACCGACTCCTCATGCTGCTGCCAGGCCCGTAATCTGTCATGGGCCCCTGTTGTCGCTTGTTGGCATATTCCGCTCGTTCAGATGCTCCTTCTCCTGCTACTCCTCTTCACGGATTCCGTCAGCAGTCCTTTCTTGGAATCCGTTTTCCAAGAGACAACAGTTTGCGAGCATGCACCCGACGGTGCAGAAGCTGAACGTCCTCCTGTCCAAGTTGCTGCTGCCAGGCTCGTAATCTGTCATGCGCCCCTGTACCGCCTCCTCATGCTGCTGCCAGGTCCAGAGTGTGTCATGGGCCCCCGTACCGACTCCTCATGCTGCTGCCAGGCCCGTAATCTGTCATGGGCCCCTGTACCGCCTCCTCATGCTGCTCCAGGTCCAGAGTGTGTCATGGGTCCTTTTACGGCTACTCCCATTGCTGCTGCCAGGCCCGTAATCTGCCATGGCCCCCGTACCAACTCCTCATGCTGCTGCCAGGCCCGTAATCTGTCATGGGCCCCTGTACCGCCTCCTCATGCTGCTGCCAGGTCCAGAGTGTGTCATGGGTCCCTGTACGGCCTCCCATTGCTGCTGTCTCCATCGCCACACTCTGCCATGTGCCACTTTCAGTCTCCTCACACTGCTGGTGGTTTCCATTTTTGTCATAGGGTGCTGTATGGCCTCCCATTGCTGCTGCCTCCACCACCACACTGTGGCTCCACACTCTGGTTTTTTGGCCCCGTGACTGCCCAATGAGTGAAGTGTGCGTGATTCTAAGAATCGACGGCACTCATCTGCATGTCATACTGACTGTCAGTATTATTTCTCTTCCCCAGCAGACTCCAAGGGCATTTAAATTAAAGGTACAGTGTTCTGCACTAATATAAAGGCTCTCTGAAGCCTAGAAACACCCTTTTATAAGTTAAATTCGCAGCGAATATATTTGACTCTAATCAAAATTTTTCCACGAATTCGCCGAATCAGTCGAATCGAATTTTTGAATACTTCGCTCATCTCTAGAACTCAGCCATCCGCCAATCCTTCTGACTCATAGCAAACTTGGATACTAACTTACCTGTGTCTTTGCACTGAAAAGGAGGCAATCATTCCTCCGTGGTCCTGGGAAACCTTTGATTGTATCTGGGTACTGAACAGAGCAAGTTGGATTTCCTGACCCCTTCACCAACATGTTGCAGACCTCCCAATTTGGTTCTGAGTACCTCCAGATCCATAGTGTAATATTAGTTATATTGTTATATATATATATATATATATATATATATATATATATATATATATATATTGTTGTAACATTCCTCCCGTACCACTATCTCCTCCCTCCTAGATTGTAAGCTCCAAGGAGCAGGGCCCTCGATTCCCCTCCTCTATCGCATTGTATTGTTATTATACTGTCTCGTGTATTGTCTACCATTGTAATGTACAGCACTGAGCAAACTGTTGGCGCTATATAAATACTGTATAATAATAATAATTAGTTGGTACACTAGGACTCTAGGACAGGAAGGACACCTATGGGTACTATCTGAGGAGACTACAGCATACCTGCATGTATAACAAAGGTGAAGGGCTCTTGGAAGGGTCAAGGCGCAGTGTCCAAGGAACTGCTACTATTGGGAACAATTGGCCAATAAACAAATAAGAATGCCTTGCAGCACTGAGTCTCTGGGATCACTGAACAGTAGGGGTTACAATTCAAGCTGACAGGTATACATGGAAACACACCGATACTGGGGACAAATACACAAAAAACACACCAGACAACCAGGATAAAAACAGCTGTGCAAACAAACAGAAATCTCTAGAAGCAGGTAGAAGTTCACGGTGACTCTGGACAGGAAACTGGCTTAAAATGCACTTGGGGACACACAGGTAGGCTGCTAGGAACACTAAGGTGAAAAGCCAATGGTAATGAGGCAAGCTTGAAAAGAGAGAGCCTGGCTCAGGGGTGTAGCTAATTGAATTAACAGCAGGAGGTTAACCAGTCCAAAATACAAGTCTTGTGGGATAACAAGGATCAGCATAAACTTACAAGTTAAAGCCATGGAACTACATATGCCATCATAACTACTGATCTTTAGGAATAGAGGGAATGGACCATCTACAGACACAAACCTAATTTAAAATCTTAACACACAAACACAATAAATGTAGTAACACTTTTTAGCCTTATAGCGAGTATCAATTATTCAATGCAGTCCTAATCAAATTTTCATCTAAAAAAAACTAAAGAAGACTGGAGGTGACCAATCATATTGTCACTGGTAATAGGGGATTGCTGGCTTTACATAGTCGCATTTGATAATCAGTGGTGCAAAGAAACTCGTTAATACCAGAGCTCCATACATGTCAGATTAGAACATATAAGTGTACGATCCAAACGCGCACGTTCCTGCATTAAAAATGGCTGTGTGTATAAGTGGGTGCTGCAGCGACCGTCGGCTGGAACCGAACAGAATCAGCAAGGGAGAATGTCACCAGCACACCAAGGATCACCAATATGGGGCCAAAAGTTTTAATGAACGATCACATAGTTACAGCAAGGCAATTAGATTAGAACACGCAAGGTCCGAACATAACAAAAGACAACCTGACTGACAAACTCAAACAGAAGCATTATCTAGCTAATGGAGGGTGAAACTCAGAAACATGTGCATGTGAAAACAGACAATACAGGAAAAAGACAATTTTTGGAATGGCACTTCTTGTCAATGGTGGCCATGATCGCCTTCTGTTCGGAAAGCCCTGAAAGCCAATGACAGAACCTGCAAGGTAAAACACCAATAACATTTACAGCTGTTTTACCTTTCCCTTTTAGGATTAACTTGGCTCAGTAAATTTGCATATCAATGGAATCATTTCTACTTGCAGACCTGGTTAAACAGGAGGGGGGTCAGTTGTTAGTGGGCTGTCAGTAGCTGAGATGACATTAGATTTTTAAAGCTCTAAACAAACATTACAGTTAACTTCAGACAACACAACATAAATTCCATAAACACACTCTTACAATTTGTTAGCTAAAGACAAACTTTAGACACCACAAATACCAGCATGTTTTCTCCAATAACCTGTACGTTTCCTTTTTACTTCCATAAAATCTATTTTGGAAGGTTGAAATTCCTTTAATGATTCATCCCGTTTCAGTTGCTTATTCTCAGCCTGTATAGGTGCATTTTCTACTTTAATATGCTGGAATGGGACCCATGATATAGGCTGTTCATACTTTTTAGACCTCGGCCATGTTCCAAAGTGTGCTGAATACACTTCAAAATCACGTCTCATTGTCCTATATGGATTTTGTTCCACTACCTTTCCAGCAGAAGAGGATAGATAAAATTGAGCAATGTGGCCAAATAATACACATGCATAACATTTTATATTTTCTAACGTGGTAAAGCATCTATTAACAAAAGGCTTTGTTTCAGACTGAGAGTATTCAGTGGCTGCAACCTGATTAGCAACTTTTTCTGGCTGTGTACAAGATGAAGGGGCAGCTTTACAAGTGCTCCTACCATCCAGAGATTTACTGATATTGGCACATACACGAGGGGCGGATGATTTACCACTAAATTCAGAAATACCCAAATCAGTCTTTTTATCATATACTCTAACCGGAAAATGAGCAAGCTGCTACTGGCAGCCGATAGACAATTGCTTCAGTTCACTTTCTGCATTCTTCAATTTTTGTACTAACTGATCAATTTCCTCCTGTAATCTTTTGTTAGCTCTTGTTAGCTGACAAAAAAGGGGAGAGAAAAAAGAGGGGGAAGGAAAAAAAAAAGGTTGCAAATGGACTTTAGAGGCACATAAACTCTATACACATATTACTAAAAAGATTTGTATTTTATTTTGACAATAAGTCATGAAAAAACATACTTCAATTAAAAAAGATCATTGTACAATGTCCCCAATGTCTTGTTAGCTGTTGGTGGCTAGTATCAGAATTGGTTACAAAAATTTGTAAACTACTCATGTCACTTTTTGGATATTTCAAGAGCTTCCTTTAGGGATTTGTTTTGCAACTTTAAATGTTCATATTGCTTAGCCATCCAACAGGCAGCAAAGATCAGTGGAGTCTTTTCCGCACGCTTACTACAACTTTTCCCGTTAGGCGTTGATTTCGTATCTTCTTCTAACTCCAGTCTGGCCTTTCCCTGCCTTGTGGCTCTCCCTTTTCGTCAACTGCTGATAACAGTCAATATCAGTGCTTGAGAATTCCACTGGAAAGGACTGGGTAACTGCATAAGGCCCCAGCCCTGACAATTGCTCATTGTCCCCCTGTTCAT